TTCGTTCTGTAGTCTTTTCAGTGGTATGTTTTTGCGTTGTAGGATTCTTTGTCGTTGGGATCGTTGTAAAGTGCGTTGTAGTTGGTTGCGTGGTTTGTAAGGTGATCTCTTCCGTTGGTTTCACAGTAGTTTGTCTTGTAGTTTGCTTTGTGGTCTCTTCCGTAGTTCTTGCAGTAGTTGGCCGTGTGGTTTGTTTGGTGGTCTCTTCTGTAGTTCTTGCAGTAGTTGGCTGTGTAGTATGTTTTGTAGTTTCTTCCGTAGGTCTAACAGTAGTCACCTGTGTAGTTTGTTCCGTGGTCTCTTCCGTAGTTCTTGCAGTAGTTGGCTGTTTAGTTTGTTCGGTGGTCTCTTCCGTAGTTCTTGCAGTAGTTGGCTGTGTAGTTTGTTTGGTGGTCTCTTCCGTAGTTCTTGCAGTAGTTGGCTGTGTAGTTTGTTCGGTGGTCTCTACCGTAGTTCTTGCAGTAGTTGGCCGTGTAGTTTGTATGGTGGTCTCTTCCCTAGTTCTTGCAGTAGTTGGCTGTGTAGTTTGTTCGGTGGTCTCATCCGTAGTTCTTGCAGTAGTTGGCTGTGTAGTTTGTAAGGTGGTCTCTTCCGTAGTTCTTGCAGTAGTTGGCTGTGTAGTTTGTTCGGTGATCTCTTCCGTCGGTTTCACAGTAGTTTGTCTTGTAGTCTGTTTTGTGGTTTCTTCCGACGTTCTTGCTGTAGTTGGTCTTGTAGTTTGTTTTGTTGTCTCTTCTGTAGTTCTTGCAGTTGTTAGCCGAGTTGTAGTCGTCCTCTGAGTTGAAAGTTGTGTTGTTCGTGCTGTGGTCTCCACTGTAGTTTGTAGTGTAGTTTGCCCTGTTGTCATCTGCGTGGTAGGCTGCGTTGTTCGTTCTGTAGTCCTTTCAGTCGTATGTTTTTGCGTTGTAACTTTCTTTGTCGTTGGGATCGTTGTCATGTGCGTTGTAGTTGGTTGTGTGGTTTGTAAGGTGATCTCTTCCGTAGGTTTCACAGTAGTTTGTCTTGTAGTTTGCTTTGTGGTCTCTTCTGTACTTCTTGCAGTAGTTGACTGCGTAGTTTGTTTGGTGGTCTCTTCCGTAGTCCTTGCAGTAGTTTGCTGTGTAGATTGTTTGGTGGTTTCTTCCGTAGACCCAACTGTAGTTGGCTGTGTAGTTTCTTCAGTGGTCGGTACCGTCGTTCTTGAAGTAGTTGACTGTGTGGTTTGTAAGGTGGTCTCCTCGGTAGGTGCCACGGTGGTCGGTCTTGTAGTTTGTTTTGTGGTCTCATCTGTAGTTTCTGTAGTAGTCGGCCGTGTAGTTTGTTTAGTGGTCTCTTCCGTAGGTTTCACAGTAGTTTGCCGTGTAGTTTCTTCCGACGTTCTTGCAGTTGTTAGCCGAGTTGTTTGTTCTGTCGTTGGTTGTGTTGTTCGTGCTGTGGTCTCCACTGTAGTTTGTTCTGTAGTCATCTGAGTTGTTTGTGTTGTAGTCCTATCAGTAGTATGCTTTTGCGTTGTAATTTGTTTTGTAGTTGGGATCGTTGTGAAGTGCGTTGTAGTTGGTTGTGTGGTTTGTAAGGTGACCTCTTTCGTAGGTTTCACAGTAGTTTGCCTTGTAGTCTGTTTTGTGGTCTCTTCCGTAGTTCTTGCAGTAGTTGACTGTGTAGTTTGTAAGGTGGTCTCTTCCGTAGTTCTTGCAGTAGTTCGCTGTGTAGTTTGTTTGGTGGTTTCTTCCGTAGTCCCAGCTGTAGTTGGCTTTGTAGTTTCTTCGGTGGTCGCTTCCGTCGTTCTAGCAGTAGTTGACTGTGTGGTTTGTAAAGTGGTCTCCTTGGTAGGTGTCACGGTGGTCAGCCTTGTAGTTTGTTTTGTGGTCTCTTGTGTAGTTCTTGCAGTAGTCGGCCGTGTAGTTTGTTTGGTGGTCTCTTCGGACGTTCTTGCAGTTGTTATCCGAGTTGTTTTGTCCGTCGTCATCTGAGTTGAATGTTGTGTTGTTTGTGCTGTGGTCTCCACTGTAGTTTGTAGTGTAGTTTGTTCTGTTGTTATCCGCGTTGTAGGCTGTGTTGTTTGTGTTGTAGTCCTATCAGTAGTGTGCTTTTGCGTTGTAATTTGCTTTGTAGTTGGGATCGTTGTAAAATGCGTTGTAGTTGGTTGTGTGGTTTGTAAGGTGATCTCTTCCGTCGGTTTCACAGTAGTTTGCCTTGTAGTTTGCTTCGTGGTCTCTTCTGTACTTCTTGCAGTAGTTGACTGTGTGGTTTGTTTGGTGGTTTCTTCTGTAGTCCCCACTGTAGTTGGCCTTGTAGTTTCTTCGGTGGTCGCATCCGTAGTTCTTGCAGTAGTTGACTGTGTAGTCTCTTCCGTAGTTCTTGCAGTTGTTATCCGAGTTGTTCTGTCCGTCGTCATCTGAGTTGAAGGTTGTGTTGTTTGTGCTGTCGTCTCTACTGTAGTTTGTAGTGTAGTTTGTTCTGTTGTTATCTGCGTAGGAGGCTGCGTTGTTTGTGTTGTAGTCTTTTCGGTAGTGTGCTTTTGCGTTGTAATTTTCTTTGTAGTTGGTATCGAGGTCATCTGTGTCGTAGGCTGTGTTGTTGCAGTAGTTGGTCGTGTAGTTTCTTTTGTAGTCTCATCCGTAGTTTGTGCAGTAGTCGGCCTTGTAGTTTGTTTGGTGGTCTCTTCCGTAGTTTTTGCACTAGTTAGCGATGTAGTTTGCTCTGTTGTCATCTTTGTGGTTAACAGTGTTGTTTGTACTGTGGTATGTTTTGGTGTTGTAAAACTCTTCGTCGTTGGAATCGAGGTGAGATGCGTAGTTTGTATGGTGGTATCGTCCGTAGTTCTCACTGTGGTTGGCTTCGTTGTTTTCTTTGTGGTCTCATCCGTAGTTCTTGCAGTAGTTGGTCGTGTAGTTTGTATGGTGATCTCATCCGTAGTTCTTGCAGTAGTTGGCCGTGTAGTTTGTATGGTGGTCTCATCCGTAGTTCTTGCAGTTGTTGGCTGCGTAGTTTGTATGGTTGTCTCATCCGTAGTTCTTGCAGTTGTTGGCCGTGTTGTTTGTATGGTGGTCTCATCCGTAGTTCTTGCAGTAGTTGGCTGCGTAGTTTGTATGGTTGTCTCATCCGTAGTTCTTGCAGTTGTTGGCCGTGTAGTTTGTATGGTGGTCTCATCCGTAGTTCTTGCAGTTGTTGGCCGTGTAGTTTGTATGGTGGTTTCATCCGTAGTTCTTGCAGTAGTTGGCTGTGTAGTTTGTTTTGTGGTCTCTCCAGTAGTTTTCGCACTAGTTGACAATGTAGTTTGCTCTGTTGTCATCTGAGTGGTAAACAGTGTTGTTTGTACTGTACTTTTTTCAGTAGTATGTTTTGGTGTTGTAAAACTCTTTGTCGTTGGAATCGAGGTGAGATGCGTAGTCTGTATGGTGGTATCGTCTGTAGTTCTCATTGTGGTTGGCTTCGTTGTTTGCTTTGTGGTTTCATCCGTAGTTCTAACAGTAGTTGACTGTGTAGTTTGTTTTGTGGTCTCTTGCGTAGTTTTGATAGTAGTTTGCTGTGTCGTCTGTTCAGTTGTCAGCAATGTTGTCTTCTTAGTTGTTGGCCTTGACGTTGCTTCTGTGGTCTGTTTTGTAGTCAGACGTGTTGTTTTCTCTGTTGTCTCTAGAGGCGTGGTCGTCTGTATTGTAGTTCTCATCGTGGTAGAGTATGTAGTTGCTGGGGTAGTTGGCTGCGTAGTGGTTTGTTTTGTAGTTCTCTCAGTAGTATGTTTTGGCGTTGTAGGATTTTTTGTCGTTGGGATCGTCGTGACATGAGTAGTCTGTTTGGTACTCTCTTCCGTAGTTCTTGCAGTTGTTGGGTGTGTAGTTTTTATGGTGGTCTCTTCCGTAGTTCTTGCAGTAGTTGGCCGTGTAGTTTTTATGGTAGTCTCATCCGTAGTTCTTGCAGTAGTTGGCTGTGTAGTTTGTATGGTGGTCTCATCCGTAGTTCTTGCAGTAGTTGGCCGTGTAGTTTGTATGGTGGTCTCATCCGTAGTTCTTGCAGTTGTTGGCTGCGTAGTTTGTATGGTGGTCTGGTCCGTAGCTTTTACAGTAGTTGGCCGTGTAGTTTGTTTTTTGGTCTCTTCCGTAGTTTTCGCACTAGTTGACAATGTAGTTTGCTCTGTTGTCATCTTTGTGGTAAACAGTGTTGTTTGTACTGTACTTTTTTCAGTGGTATGTTTTGGTGTGGTAAAACTCTTTGTCGTTGGAATCGAGGTGAGATGCGTAGTTTGTATAGTGGTATCGTCTGTAGTTCTCATTGTGGTTGGCTGTGTAGTTTGCATGGTGGTCTCATCCGTAGTTCTTGCAGTAGTTGGCCGTGTAGTTTGTATGGTGGTCTCATCCGTAGTTCTTGCAGTTGTTGGCCGTGTAGTTTGTTTTGTGGTCTCTTGCGTAGTTTTGATAGTAGTTTGCTGTGTCGTCTGTTCAGTTGTCAGCAAAGTTGTCTTCTTAGTTGTTGGCCTTGACGTTGCTTCTGTGGTTTGTCTTGTAGTCAGACGTGTTGTTTTCTCTGTTGTCTCTAGAGGCGTGGTCGTCTGTACTGTGGTCCTCATCGTGGTAGAGTATGTTGTTGCCGGGGTAGTTTGCTGTGTAGTTTGTTTGGTGGTCTCTTCCGTTGTTCTTGCAGTTGTTAGCCGAGTTGTTTGTTCTGTCGTCATCTGAGTTGAAGGTTGTGTCGTTCGTGCTGTGGTCTCCACTGTAGTTTGTAGTGTGGTTTCTTCTGTTGTCATCTGCGTGGTGTGTTGCGTTGTAGGATTCTTCGTTGTTGGGATCGTTGTGACATGAGTAGTCTGTTTTGTAGTCTCTTCCGTAGTTTTAACAGTAGTTGGCTGTGTAGTGTGTCTAGAGGTCTGCTGAGTTGTTAACACAGTGGTTTCCTTAGTTGTTGGCCTCGATGATGCTTCTGTAGTCAGACGTGTAGTTTTCTCTGTTGTCTCTAGAGGCGTGGTCGTTTGTATGGTGGTCCTCATTGTGGTAGAGTATGTAGTTGCTGGGGTAGTTGGCTGCGTGGTGGTTTGTTCTGTAGTTCTCTCAGTAGTATGTTTTGGAGTTGTAGGATTTTTTGTCGTTGGGATCGTTGTGAAGACGCTGTGGTCCGTTGTAGGATGGTGCGTTGTTGGAATCGTCGTGAAGACGCTGTGGTCCGTTGTAGGATGATTCGTTGTTGGAATCGTCGTGAAGACGCTGTGGTCCGTTGTAGGGTGGTTCGTTGTTGGAATCGTAGTGAAGACACTGAAAGCCGTTGTAGGGTGGTGCGTAGTTGGGAGAGTGGTCATCTCTAAAAGGAGTCACATAGAAGGGAGGGAGAATTTCAAACCGGCCCGAAACAGTGAGCATAGATTTTATTTCACAGGTCGTCATTTACATGGTATCAATGCAGGCTGGCTTATCATAACAATGTTACATTAGGCTACAGCAAGTAATTTTTTTAAAAATTTTCATCAGCGCGCGCATTAATTTTCGCCTGATTTTTTTAATTGCTCTCTTACGATGGTCAGCATGCCGAAAATGAGCAAACATTCTGTAAATGATCCAGCAAACTTGAGGCAAAATGGTTCGCGTTTGCCTCAAGTTTCGCAAATGTTGACACTAACATGTTTCATCGCACCCAATCCAATCCAGCATAGTAGCTGCTCAAGACGGTACGACTAGCCGTTTTGCTAGAATTTCTAGTTAATTGAAGTCTTTACACATCTATCAGGACAGGTAACACTGTTGAATACAGCATTATAAAAGATCTGTTTGGTGGTGGTGTCATGTCACCTCAATTCTTGTGTAACAAGGCTTATGACCTCAAATTTTGAAAATGAAAGAATCTTGTTGTTTTTTTTGCCCGCCTTGTTTTTTTTTCGCCCTATCGCATTAAATTTGGAGTCTGCAGAGGATGCCATCCATAAAATTTACTTGCTGTGGCCTTAGAATACTACGCTACATAATCATGACATTTGCCTGATACATGCAAGACAAACTGCCCACAGGGCAGGATTTGTGCCTTATTGTTTCTGTGCGCCATAGTTTAATTTTCCATTGCTTGCGTTATCAAAGACTTGATCAACCAAGTTAGGGAAATACGGGAAGACGTTTTGAACATCCATGTGTACAGAAAATGCTAGTACGACGGTCAGTGACTGTGTGAAATCTTACTTCAGTCGCTTCAACTACTCACTCATCATATGAATGGTTGACTGTCCATGACATTTGACATGGTGCAGTGCACGCGAATAGTGGCCGTACAATGACAGTAAACAGTTTACTATGGCCGTCCAGACAGAAATAAGCACCACATTCGTTGCGTTGATACGGATATTTCGGTTTCGACATCAAACTTGACTTTTAAAAGTTAAGTCGTAGCAAAGGCAACGCGAACAAAAGACAACCTGTGGACTAACGTCTACGCAATGTAGTGGTCTGGGTGGCTACATATGTTCTCAAGTTGAAGTGTACTTCATACGACGATTTGGACAAACTGTCATGGTACTTTGACAAGGTATAGAGACAGAGAAAAGACGTGTCTAGCCAAAAGTGCAGGAAAGCATTTCAAAAAGTATGTAATTCAGACCAAAGCTTGTCTGCAAACTCGGACGTGAGCTCATCCTTTTAAACCAATGAAGTGGAAAATGTGAAAGACCTTTGACGACCCTCAAGACAACACTGAAAACCAGGTCAGGACATTGGAAAGCTGGGGAAAGTTTACACCCATCTGTACGTAGTAAACACAGACTCTTGCGTCATGAAACGAAGCTTAAAACACTGCAACTTACCATAGAGTAAACATGTTCCAATGATCTAATCAAGAACTAAACATTTAAAGTTGATTTCCAGACATATAAAGTTGATTTCCAATCACAATGGGGTCATTTTGCTGGAAAATTAGGTCAAACCCAAAATAGCACAATATATATCTGTTAAAAATTTTCTTGGGATTTCACGGCTTTCCAGTGAATATCGACACAAAAGGAAAATGATCAAGTTACTTACTTTACATGAAATCTGGACACAGACTAAATATTGTCAGTATCAAAATTTGTTGAACTTCAAGACTTGTCAGAGAATATCGTGTTAAAGAACAGGCACAAAAGGAAACAAAATGTGGCCAATTTTGTTCCCAGAACAAATAACTGAACAGTAAAGCCGCTTATACCTGTAAGTATCCCTTGTTAAAGCAATTGTACACAAACTATTGTCAGTATCAAATTTCGTTAGGATTTCATGACCTTTCAGTGAATGCCGTGCTAAAGATTTGGCACAAGAGAAACCACTTCTGTACCCATATGCCAGGGGATAAGGAAACAAATGACTGTATTACGTACATCAACCGCAGGATTTGTCGGAAGCTTAGCCCCACCACGTCAAGGCCAAGAAAGACGGACTGAACAAAGATGGCAGACTACGTGAGTAGTAAATACTGTAATTCCTGATTTCTTCACTGTACTGTTATGTTCACTGTTTTCACTGTCACTTCTGTACTGTGACCTTATCATTACAGTTAACAAATAATTCCTAGACGTTCTTTTTCCTGCACCTGTCGCCACCTTTAACATTTAGTTTCGTGAACATGTCAATTTTTCTCAGACCGTGAGCTATTGGTACCCAGAACATAAAGTGAATTACAGTATGTTGTTACTAGTATTTTGTGTCAGAAAACTGATACATTTTCTCAGGGGCTGTTTTTAACGTTACAAACTATAGGTCTGTCACGGCTAAACAAACGACAGACTATGTCAGTTCATATTAACGTTGTTGCTAGTTTTTATGACATTTTCTCGTGGACTTACGTGGGTCTTGTGCCAGTGCCGTCCCTCCTCTGTCGACCTGTAGTCGCGCCATGATCAGGACCAAAACTCCCACAGCTGTCCAGCTAAACAGGACTCCCATTTCACTCTCCTGTCGTCGGCTCAGAACAAGCAGTCTGTACGAGATACTCAGACTTTTTCGGTTGGAAAGGAAATGGAAATGTCTCGGCCTGTCCTTGAAACTGGGTGTACCCTGCTTCGGTGCTTGGCGGAATGCACAAAGACAATAAATGCGATTGTGGCATGCCTGACTCTCCCTGACCCCATAGCAATTTACATAATTATGGTGTCGTGCATCGGGTCATACTTAAAGAAATTATCGAAAGATTGGAAGATAGGGCTTGATTATTTATTGTCACTTGGTGGTGAGATAAGCTTGAGGTGGAATTCCAAGGCTTTTGTTAAGACTTTAACCGCCTGAGGTCATGATGTGATCATCAGTCAATCTGCGTGATTGGATTGCCAAATATCAGTAATGTCTTTATGCCTATAGAAAACAGAGGTGATAGTTCAGTTCAGTTCATCCTACTTGTAATCAGGTGACACCATGTACTGTCTCCACACGTTCCTGTCACGCATGACAGAGGACAGTTCAGCACCGCCCAGACCTATGTCCTCCTCGATCACCTTCTTCAGAGTTAAAGAAGGGCGACCACGTCTCCGCTTTTCCGACAGAGGTGATCACTAGGTGGTATAATTATATACCATAGAAAACAGGAAAGCTATGTGTGCGTGCGTACGTGTGTGTACGCGCGTGTTTGTGTTTGCGTGTCCGTGTGTGTCTCTCTGTGTGTATGTGTTTGCGTGCGTGCGTTTGTGTGTGTGTGTGCGTGCGTGAGTGTGTGCGTTCGTGTGTGTGTGCGTGTGTCTGTGTGTGCGTTCAAATGTGATAGGGGAGGGGAGACTTCTACTAAACTCGAGGCGTTTGGGTTGGGTTTTTTTAAGATCTTATCTATACCGGAAAATGTACTCAGACACACAATGTGGTTTTCTCTACAGTCTTCAAACCACGCATGTCGTTTTTCTACTTTAAAAACAGTGTGCTTTCACTGCAGTTCTGCAAAAAAAGTCATAAAAGACAACACCAATTGACCCATTAACAAATCTTGACCCCACTTGCTGACCTCGATCACCCCAGGGTCTGGCAGCACATTTATGGCCATGTTTATGTGAAGTCACCCAAGGCGCTTTACATGTGGTTTACCCCGAAGCCGGTTTCAAGTGGCTCCATCTGAACGCCCCAAATCACATTGAAAGCGCCTCGATCCCAAACCACTTCTAGAGGTGGTTTCGAATCGGTTTTCCCACATCGCGATTTGCGTCTGGACGCAATGTGATTTCAATGTAACTTTGCCTGATCATGGATTACGGGGTGATATTTCTTTATTTATATGCAATACCAACTTTTACGTGGCAGCAACTTAAAGAGTAGTAATGGTCAAATAATGTGTCCGTTCTAGGACGAGCTTCACTGCCTCTGAAAGGACCACGTCGGCATTCGGCCGAGATATGTTGGGAGGGGGGCACCAGCAAGCAGGTCGTTGACCTCTGACAATAATAACACACAGTTAACAAATGTACCAGTGTCAGTTGACACGATGTATATATAGCTCAAGATCAATCTTTCTACCTGCCCAACATACTAATAGGTGGACTCAACTTCTTAATTCTAGGCCCATGAAGCGTTTTTAAATTATGCTTTAAGATATAATTTTAGACAAAAAAATTAACTGGCGGGGTTTAAGGTATGTTAGGCATACATTTAGAAAGTTCACCAAGTTTCACACACAATGACACCAAAATTCACCATGCCTGGGGGCAAGACTTGAGTCTTCTACTTAGTGGTACAAATACATTGATTTTGTCTTTTTACCGTTGTTATTCATAGTTTAAAAATTCATCGTCTGGGTGTGGGTATTAGGCTTCTGGTAAATAAAACAATAGTACAAATAATGCTTCTTGCAACAATTATGAGTATTATATTGCACACATATATATGGACGACATACATACATCATTTTCCAACAAAACATGTAGCACACATAAGATACATTTCTTCATATACCTCTTCGATGCCATCTTCATAATTGCAACTGTAATATAGTCTTATAGCTTCCATTCAAGATAAAACACTCTTCTGGCACATATCTTCATAAACTCATATTCTTCGCAACTATATACAGGAATCATAAAGCTCTTAGTAGAATATTTCCACGAATAAGATTGTAAACAAAAATTTGGACCTTTTTTTAATTGAACGTTGTCTACGATTGTAGACTCAGTAGTAGACACTGTATCCACACGTTGCCATGGTTTGCAGATGTATCCTGGATATCTTGAGCGATATCAACAGGCGAAAGCACATTTTGTTAACAGGTGGGTGCACTTCACGGCGTTACCGCCAGGTGTCACCTTCGATTGGGCAAGTATCCAGATGCCATAAGAGCGACGGTGGCAACGGTCAAGGACGTGGTGAAGGTGATGAAAATGGCGGAAATGTAGACAGGGGCGTCTGTCTGCACCACAGGCGGCACGGGGCAGTCAGAGTAGAAGCTACGGGGAAACATTAATTTGATTTATTAGGCTGAATAAGACATGTATACAGCCAGGACCTCCCAACTAGCCGGAGGCTATTATAAAGGGCTAGCCCTCACAACAAGAACATAAACAATTTGGAACAGGTAACAGTTAACAGTGTCGGTTACACTTCAAATAAACATACTATTACATACCAGATGTTGCGGTCTAACGTTAACAAGCTATGAGAAACGGCCTAGTCGTCATGCGTTTTCTATAATTACATTGTGTACTATATTTACATGTCAGGTTAACATACTATTACATACAGATGTTGCAGTCTAACGGTAGGGTTAAGAGGTTATGAAATCTGGCCTAGATGTCATGCATTTACTATAATTACGTTGTGCACTATATTTACATTGTCAATACAATTCTATTGAACTCGTACAGTTTTACTATAAGTAGTTGTCGTCAAGTATTTACCAAGTATTGTCCATAGTTTGAGATGACGATATGGCATAGCAAGTTGTTTTGGCAGAACTATTTGCAAAACCTGCCCCGAATGCATGCATCGTTTGTTTCATCCACAATTTTTACAAAAATACTTATCTTTTTTTGCATCAAAGTGCCACAGCTGTAGGGCTATACATTAACTACAGTGATATGTGATAGATAAAACATGTTCTATATTGTAGACAAACCTTCTACCTAGGGTATAGAATTTTCTTCTTACACAACCAGTAAAGGTTCTCACCTGCAGTTGAGAACCTTTACTGGTTGTGTAAGAAGAAAATTCTATACCCTAAGTATCTTCCAACCTGATGAAAACCTTCTACCTGTTCTTACCTTTTTACCATTACTAAGAAACGAGAAGAAACCGAATTTACTTAATTGTAGCTACTTGACGATGTATATATGTAACGATATCTGTATTCCATTCTTTTGTTGTGACCTGTACTTAACCCAGTGGGTATGCGTGTACAATAAAGATCTTCGTTCATTCATTGTAACATGTTCATATAATGCATAGACGTTACCTCAATTATACACTTGTCATTGACGATTTCCTCACTCCTAATCATTATCTTGCTAATCTTTTTTTTTTGTCTATAATGCGGGAGGATAAAGACAAATGCGCTGCCCAAGGCAGTATAGTATTCTCAATAGAGATCTCAAACCTCCATGAAATATATGAGTTTTTACCTCCATGAAATGTGTCATGGAGGTTATATTTTCAGTTGCGTTTATCTGTCCGTCTGTCCGTCTGTCTGTCCGTCTGTCAGTCTGTTGGTCAACAAGATAACTCAAGAACGCCTGGATGGATTGGTTTCATACTTGGTGTGTTGGTAGGGTGTGACGAAAACTGGAAATGATTAGATTTTGGGCCCCCTAGTGGCTTCCCTTGGTACTGCAGCGCAACTTCCGGTTTTGATATCTCGCGATCTGGACATGCTAGGGTCATGAAATTTGGATGGAAGGTAGCTCTTGTCCTCGGGAAGAAGTCACGTGAGTTTGGTTCCCCTAGCGGCTTGTTCTGGAACTGCAGGGTGGTTTCTTTGAAAATCTTCGAGAGAGGATAACTGAACAACCGTTTGATGGATCATCATGATTTTTGGTATGTAGGTAGCTTAAGTGATGCTTGACATAATCAAAATATCATTATGCAAATCAGGATCTAATTTGCATAATTAATGAGGAAATTCTATAAATCAGCTGTATTTCATATTAGGGCTATAAAACTCTATAGACATATGTTAGTGAGAACGACAAGATCATTGGCAGATATCGATTATGTAAAGGAAGACCTAATTTGCATAATAAATGGCAAATTGGTACAATTTTATGGTGGTAACTGCTGGGAATTTAATACTTGCCATAATTGGAAGTTCAGTGAAGGTGAACATCACTAAACATAATTTATGTCAATCAGGACCTCATTTGCATAATTTATGAGGAAACGCTAGAATAGCCTTATTTCTAAGATAACCCTGTCATTTGGTGGAGAGTATGATCAATTGATACAATATATGCAAATGGCCTCATATGATTTGAATATATGCGGTGAAAAATGTAAGCCAATTACAGGTGGTCATCACCATGCGTAAGATTTATGAAAACAATACACATGTCATGGAGGTATGAGATCATCGAACTCTAGTTGTAAATGTTTTTACACGGTACACTACACTACAGTACAGAACAAAATAACACAGGCTGTCAACTCAGTACCTGTAGTCTATTCCCGAGGGAGAACATCATCAATCAAACCTGGTAGGCGAGGAAGTCTTTAACCGGCACGTCTGTTTTCCCTCAAAATACAAAAGTTCTGCTGCAGTACCAAGGTGAGCAACCAGGAGGCCCATATTTGACATTGACCTTCGGCTTTCTAAGACCTACCAGCATACCAAATATCATCACAATCCATGAAGGCGTTCTGAAGTTATGCTGACTACAAATGTGCGGAAACACAAACACACACACAGACACACAGACACGCGAAGAACAATACCTCCATTTTTCATGGAGGTAATAAGAGTCAATGTAAGAACTAAACGCATAAACAACCCGTTACCTCTTGTGTATTTCCAGCATGAATCTGTTGGCCAGGATGGCTTCTCTACAGTTTGTGATGAATCCGACTTGATGGGTGCACGCCACAAGGCGACTGTACGGCCTGGAAGAAATGAAGCATAACCTTATGTGTATACTCCGTATTAGCGACCACCATTTACACATAGAATCTGGCAGGCATAGCCGTACACCGTTACAAGATATACTATGCAAATTCTGTAATAATTTTTGTATTGAAGATAAATCGCATTTTATGCTTGACTGTATATCATATGATAACGAAGGTAAATCACTGTTCAGTTCAATTAAGCTCGACAAAAAATGTAAAACATTATCAAAGGAAGACACTTTTAAATATATCATATCATGTACAAATATAGACGTCATCAATGAAGTATGTAAGTATATTTCAAAATGTTTCAAAACGAGAGAAGAAACCATTAGAACTTAGATCTATATCACTTTATATATATATATATTTCTTTTTTAGCATTGTATACCTTTTTTATATTACTATTGATGTAGTACTCTCTAGTACATAGTACTTGTACATCCGTGCATTTATCCCCCCGGGGAATGAACATGCAATAAAGTTTCAGTTTCAATTAAAAAGAAGAAACGAATTCCGCTTAAAGCTGGATTGAAATGCCGGATGAAAATTACAACATGGTCTTACCAAAGGGCAGAGTTTGATGACGCAGGCCACAGGCATATACTCTCGTTCCCAGCCTGCAGCAGATCGGTGACGAATGACAGCGTGCACGTGACCAGGAGATGGGTGTACAGTTCGGCCTGTCCGCAGTCTCTCCACGCTTCCACCGTCTCAGCAAGGCTTGTAACTAGGACACGGCATACAGTATGTAGTGATCGTTAATAGTGCTGTGTACCGGTTCGCGCACGGTCATATTTTCAAGCCGGGGCCTGGTCGGGTTGTTTGCGTGAACGAAAAATAAACAATTTATAAAATAGTGCTCATGGTTAATTTTCTATTTTTTGTGTGTGTTTTGCTGTCTCATATTATAATTTTCGTTCCATACGACTGCCCGGCCGGGCCCCGGGTTGGGAAATGTCAAGTGTCGGCCACAGTTTTGCCCAGACGTCGACGCGCGCCGAAAACAACATGTCTTACTTCTAAACCCTGGTAGTGCAGGGCTCGCTACAGCATTTTGCGGTAAAGATGCCCCATTTTCCATTGAAAAATGTTAACTGAGAAGTCCCTACCGTATTTTACAAGTCATTGACCTGAACCTAAACCTAAACCTCTGTACTTGAATCCGGACCTGGACCTGAACGTGGGTTTAGGTACACAGCACTAATCGTTAACATGTCTTGTGATGTATGTACACTCCCTCTGGGCATAGCTGTTACGTTCTGATTTATGTTTCCACTCTTATTGGCCATTTTTGAAGTAATACCGTTCTCTGGGATGTTGATTCATCATTTGCTTTCCATTTTCGAGGAGGATTGTGCTCGGTACGCCTGGATCATACATCACAGGGAAGTGGCTGTATTTTCTGGGGAGGCCAAATGGAAAATCAAATACCCTATGTCATCACTCGTTCGAAGTCAGGCATGGTAAAGAAGGGTTAGTCGTGTACAATCGTGCCAAAAATGATATACATGCCTTGTACATTTTTACTTCATAAGTGGAAAATGTTGCATAATTTTGGACTATATATAGCCCCAAATGTGATATATGTACCCAAGATGAAAATTATATACACAAGTTTTTTGAATGTATACGGTTGAAGGATTATTGGAAAAAAATTAAACACCTTCTCTCTGAACTGGGCATCAACATAGATATCACTGTAACCTCTGTACTCTTTGGAGAGATCTTCTATGTGACTCTGGCAAAATATGCCATTTATCTATCATGGCTCAGATATAAAGATAATCCAGAATTACTTAGAAAACACAATGTTCTACATATTTTTACATCTTGAAACAAGACGTACACAATATTAGTCTGTAGTGTATGTACAGTATGTTCATTTCCAACATGACTAATTGTAAAAGTTAATACGTTGTACAATTAGTAGTGATTAACCCTTAAGTTCCCAGCATGATGTTATCATTTTGTCGTTAATTTTACCTGTAATACTAATGATTATATGAAGTTTAGGATTTAAACCTTACTATGCTCGATGTACGTTCGGTATACTCTTGACATTATGCCATGTATTGTTGTGCGATTGTATTGAGTTATACTTAATAAAGATTAAAAAAAATACATGCCTTCTATACGTACCAAACACTCGGGTATAGATGTAGTTAATGATACAGATAACATTGCGGATGGAGTTGTAATTTTTCCATCTTGAATCCTCAAATTCTGAATGACTATTTTCATGTTGTGCGGAGTCACGACGTAAATGCCTTTTAGCAAAGTCTCCACAATCTATTTGTTACTATATTAAACTACAGATGATAGGGTTTTGATGTAAAAACCACTGGTCTCATCCCTGACTAGACGTTGCATGTTATAGAAACTTCCAATCTGGTTTTAATTCTTTTCACTAAAAAACAATCTTGGTCTTATCACTGTGACGGTGAACGTTACGACGATACGTCATTGCCAAGGGGAACGTATGATAATGACATTGCTGAAAGTCGCTAACTTCATTTGTGGGTCGCTCAGAAGAGTAAAATAGATTAACCGGTATCTGGAAATAGTACAGAACGACATAGAATGAAACAACAGACTGTCATCATTTTGGGCATTATGGTTATTATTTCCTGTAATTAGATTTACCGCTTTATAAAACCTAAATGGGACCTGAAATGTCGTTTACTTTTTTGAGAGATTTTTTGTGGCAGGCTGGACAATTCTTAACATATGTTATCATGAAAGTTCATCTGTGTTGGTAGTTACATGTTTAAAGTTAAAACTTTTGTTCCAACACAAAAAAATTCTCTCACTTAGAGCTTTCGACCAGTCACTCTGGTCTTCCTCAGTAGACTGACCCAGTGAAGCTTGTCACGTGGCTTCGTTGAAGTGTGACGTCAACACTGGGTCAAAGGTATCTGGTAGACGATGTCGACCCCCGTCGCGGTTCAATGTAGGGTGATGGGCCCTGATGTATATGACTTCCCTCACCCCTCTCAAGAAATACTCTTGTTCAGTATCTAAAATCCTTACAGTGTCAAGTGAAATAAATTGTCCTCTTAACATATGTGTCTTGACAAGTGAACGGTAAGAAAAACAACCAACTTCCCTGAGAATCCCGTTTTTGTAGAACTTACTTTCCTTAGATGAGATGAAATCAGCCTGGGCAGACGTAAGCACTGTGAAGGTGCAGAACAACAGAGATCCGAATACTCCTGTCATGTTGTACCATGGCCCTGCAGGCAGAAGGAAACAGAAATTAAAACTGCAAAAGTGCACGTGGAAGTGTAAGATTGATACAACCCCACAAAGCAGAAATGACAGCCTCAGGCCACACCAATTTAGTTTCTTGGTTAACGGATTCGCCCGCTTCATTTTTTTCTGATTTGCAAAAAAAACAAAACAAATTCAGAATCAACTGCAAAATGCTCATATTTTGCCCTGAACAGTTGAAAACAGTCCTTTTCTTCCTAGTTGTTACAGTTATTCCACTTTGAATGCAGTGGTATCATCAAAAGTTCAAAATTCATTGTTTAAATTTTGAACCAGCCTGGTGTCTTAACTTCATGGCCCCTATCGTACCATTTTGGACCATAATAGGATGCCTAGGCCTGTTTTTATTTCCATTTTTCTTCGCCCGCCCGCTCCATTATTTTTCTACAAAAATCCGTTAACCAAGAAATTAAATTGGTGTGTCCTCAGTTGAAAACAAGTAACCCACAAAATGATACGAGAAGAATATAAGTCAACTAGAAAAGTAACATTTGCAAAGCAAATGCATAATGTTTACCTTCGCATATGGTCTTCTCTGTTAAAATTCTTACTCAAAACACATTTATATATATGGTGACAGACGTCTAAATCCCTCCTGCTATAAAATTGCAACACTAGTTACCATGGTGACAGACGTCTGGTTCAGGTCACTGACCTTATTTATTTGGAGAAGAGGAAGAGGAAGAAGAAGAAGCAGAGCAAAAACAATATGTTTTCCCTCCGTAATCCATTCTCCGTAATCTAAATACACTAAGACTATTAAAACGCATGAAACCATACTAAAAGGTGCCGTTGGGACATTGAGACATAATCCAAAACGTGCTAAATGTGTGTTGTAACTGCTGCTTAACGAGGGCGAATGAGCACAGCACCTGGGTCCATTTCCCATGAAAGCATATTGCTGACCTAAATTTTTCGTAGGCTTATACCTCTATACTTCTAATTTAAAACATCCCAACATCTAGAAAAACACAGGACCGGCACACACCATTAGCCTGATTAACACAAACAGTGTTTTGTTATGGCTTCACTACTATGTGGTGAAGACATATTGTTTTTCCTCATGTTTTTTCTCCTTCTCCTCCTCCTGCCATTTCTTTAAATTGATTCAACTCCTTCATTTTTGGGCCAAATAACATAAAATTTGGCATAAAGGTAGAGTGGGCAAATACCCCCAGGCCTTTTTTTTTTCATTTTTGTGATACAGGCTTTTAGAATGGTTTTATTTGTGTTTTTGGCTGTGTTATAGAAATGTACTGTATGCTAAAAAAAGCCTTTCTAGTTGCCAATGCTATTACAATGCATAATCAGCGAGAGAGCTTTATCTCCTCCCTTATAGCTGAAGCTTGCAGCTTTTAAAATTATGGGATTGTGAAAGATAAGAAGAAAGCACACAGCCAGCACTAAAAGACACTGTATATCATGACAAGTCTTCTCGTTAGCTTTGAAGTGAGTATCCTGGATGCCAACTAGTATCGGGCCGTTAGCAGTTTTCCTTCGGCAGCCAAGAGCCCTTCGCCCGCCTATCTAAATTACCACTACGGGGGAGTTGAGCCCGAGGGTTTGTCAGGCCCTAGAATCGTTGTACGGCCAGCCAAACTCCCCCCCCGGGCTACACTCCTCGTAGCGGTTTTTTTACACCAGCGGGCAAAGGACTCTTGCGGCCCGGAAAACGAGTTCTGGCTTCCAGTGTATGAAGTGAGATGTCGTACATTCGTAATTGGAATGGGAGTCAACCAATCACAAAGGTGATACTCGTAACTATGCTACTGTATAAAGTGTGTTCCTCAGCTATACAATGTTTCTCTGGATCTCCCACGCAAGCCTGTTAAAAATACATAAAGATAAAGAATCTAATCACATGGAAAAGTCGTAGAGGCAAAACCCCGAACAGCCATCACAGCGTGAATACGTCATTGAGCTAGCAGTAGTGTATAACGTCATTAAAATTGCCCTTGCAGCACTAATTTGAATTTTATGCAGCATGACACCGAAACCAATCTGAAGCGATAGGTTACTAATGTAATAAAGGTTGCCTTAACTCAATGCCTCGTTGATGGAACCAAAATCAGCCTTTGATGTTCCCAAGGCAGCATCATTTATGACTTTAATGTTGAAAATGGATGTTATATATAGTTACATGGGCGAGCCAAAATGAGTTAGGCTTGGCATATGGTTCATGTCCCTATCACATCGGCACCAAGTGGTTGCACAATACCGCATATGGTAGGCAGGTTTTGTTGCAACTCTTAACATCAAAATACGATTCCAAACACACACACTGACACTTGCACACACAAATGCACGCTCGCACACGCACGCACGTACACGCACACACACACACACACAGCACGCGCGCACATACAAATACACACATACTCCAACACACACACACACACACACACATACATACATACCCATACACATACGCACACACGCACAAACACACACATACGTACACACACACTGCACACACACACACACACATACACACACGAACACACACATACGTACACACACACTGCACACACACACACAGACACATACACTCACATACAAACACACACCACACACACACACATACACGTACACACACAAACGCACACACACACATCTGCTTGCACCAAGCTGACGTGCCCTCTCTGATGAACTACTGGCCTCGTTATTTCACTTCAAAAAGCAATTTTCTCTTCTGGGCACCCAGATTTTTCAACGGCTCTGTAGTCACCAGCAGCACGTGAGGTGAGTACGGAATCATCCCAGAATACCAGCGTGGTCATACCCGTATAAAGATGACCATTTCATAACCCAACGACTATGTAACTGTCGTAGCGTGTACGTAATTGTTGTATCGGGTGAAGTCAGATAAGAGAGCAATTATAGCGACTACGTCTGAAGAATATCTGACGACACGAGCAGACAAAAGAGCTGCCGAAGCTTGCGAAGACAAACGTCATCCGTGACAAAGTAATGCTTAGGTCACAATTCCTACACGGGGCCCGGCCGGGCAGCTTTTGGGAACGAAAAGTACGATATGAAAGACAACAAAACACGGAAAAGTTGTTGATAATAATCATGGGCACTATTTCTGTATATTCTTGATATGAATTCTTGATTTTCCGTTTATACAAACAGCCCGACCAGGCCCCGGTTTGGAAATGTGACCTAGGCATAAGAGTAAAGCCTTCCGGTGACATTGTTTGCCTGCTAGAAGCAACGTAACAGATGGGAAATTCATCTCCAGATGTCAGGGAATGTGTTTTATTATCATTATTACATGCAGCATCCATCTAACGTTGGTGCATGGGGCATCACTCATGATCCAATCACGCTAATGATTGAATACATGTAATCAACATGTACATATCATGAAACTGTGTCGGTCACACATAATTTTGACATAGAAGGTCAGAGACCCATACAGTCATAATGAAGCTTGCGTTATGGTTGTAAAATGCTTTGGCTTGAAATACAATCTGTGTGAGTTTTAAATCCCTGTAAGGCCACACCGACTTAATTTATGGATGACATTGATTTTCGCCTGTTCTAAAAAAAAAGAAGACCACGTCCTCCGAGTTTCTAGGCCTGGGTAGTCCATGGTAGTTGTCGACAGTACGGAGCTGGTGGTAACTCTGAATAATGGCGCCCAGGCTACCGAACCTCCACGACTCAAGAACACAATACCAGGTTTAAATTTGTATTCCTGTGGTTTAGTTGCATTTTTATTTTTCGCCGGAAGTTTTTTAATTCACCCGCGCGCACTAGTTTGGGGGTCTTTAGAGGATGTTATCCATAAAATTAACTCGGTGTGGCCTACGCACTGGAGTGAGTTTGCAAGCTTCGGCGAGATAGCATGTCCTGATGGTCCGTCGTTTGAAGTTCCTCCAACATTTCGATCTTCTAAAAATAACGTTGGAAACTACTCAGCGTTGATTGGACCTAAGGCCACACCGGTTTAATTTTATGGATGACATACTCTGAAGACCCCCCAAACTAGTGCGCGCGGGCGAATAAAAAAATTCCGGCCAAAAATAAAAATGCTACTAAACCACAGGAATACAAAGTTGGTATTGTGAATTCGCGACAGTACTTAGCGACGTATACGACAAGCCGGCACATGCTGGCTTTTTGTGGCATTTATGAATCGTATGTACGTATGTACTGAGTTCTTGAGTCGTGGAGCTTCGGTAGCCTGGGTGCTCGGCTCCGTTTTGTCGCTGACTACCATGGACTACGCAGGCCTAAGGGGTAGGTTAGAGCCTCGGTGGACGTGATTTTTTTTAGGTCGACAGGCGAAAATCAATGCGCGCGCGGATGTCATCCATAAAATTAAGTCGGTGTGGCCTAATGCTTTACATGCGGTACAGAAAGGTGCAGACCACTGTCCTCATACGACTTCCCAAATACAAACAAATTGTTACACACGAAAGGTTGAACGAGATTCGACCTTTCCGGTGCAAAAAAAATAATTTATTATCAATCATTTCATATTTCCCGATTAGTCTATGATTCCTAGTGACAGATCATAAAAAAAAGACAAATGTGTATGACGTAAATGTCGTCCCGGCCGTATAATATAGTTTGTCATAGATTACTTCCGTGAAAAATTCTCATAAATATGTCACAGTGTGCAGAGATTCAAACGCTTCTACCTTTAGTTCAAAGCTGTCCGCAATAGCATCTGACAATGAGTGTATTTTGAACATGTATGTGCAAGGAAAACTGTATACTATAATACTATATGATTGTAAGTAGGTATACAGATACGCCAATTTTAGACGACAATAAAAGAAGAAAAAAGCGATATATCATATAGCCATACAAAGTTAACAGTGGGAACTAAAAGTTTAAGATGTTATTTTTTCATCTCTGGTTAGAAAATCTTACCAAGAGTGTAAGGTAAATGGCCAGTGCTCGCTAATCGCTCACTAATTGTTGATTCCACGAAC